TCTTATATTCCTTTGAATTGTGCTGCCATCTGGCTGACCAATACACTACTGTACCTGCATGCGGGTGGACCCTTTACCCGTTCCACCACCACCTCTGTTCCACCCCGTCCTTCCCCTCCCCCGTTCCACCCCGTCCTAAACGCCCACCTATAACCTCTGACCTTTCCCTGGAGCCTGGACCTCCACCTGTGTCGGCTTATGCTAGAGACAACCTTTGTTGGAACACACACACGACCCCCACAGTTTGTGTAAATGCAGGAGGCATTAAATACACACACACACACACACACACACACACACACACACACACACACACACACACACACACACACACACACACACCACTATACCAGTTGATTGACAGTTGAGAGGCAGGACCAAGGAGCCAAAACTCAACCCCCGCAAGCACAATTAGGTGAGTACAATTAGGTGAGTAAACCTAGTGGACCTGCACTCACCTGTGAGTACACATACACACACAAACACGCTGTCCACTCAGCCTCGCGGCTGAGTGGACAGCACTCTGGGGGTCATAGTCCTAATGGCTTGGGTTCGATCCCTGGCAGAGGCAGAAACAAATGCGCAGTTTATTTCACCCTGATGCCCCCTGTTCACCTAACAGTAAATAGGTACCTGGGAGTTAGACAGCTGCTACGGACTGCTTCCTGGGAATGTGTGAATGTGTAAGATAAATATATGTAGAAGATCTAATAGAGGAAAATAAATTTATCAGAAAGGCGGGGTCCAAGAGCTAATTGCTTGATTCTGTAGATACAAGTAGTAAATACAAACACAAACCTCACGACACTGGAAGACATAAAAGTTCGGGGAGACATGATCACCACCTATAAAATTCTTGGAGAAATTGACAAGGTAGATAAGATATCAATTATTTAGCACGAATGGTACACGAACAAGGAAGGAGGGAATCATCAGGGAAAAGCGTTGTTGTTTTAGATTCAGCTACTCGGAGCAAAAAGTTGCAAGTAGCACGGTCTATGGTGAGCCCGTAGTGGACTCACTGGCACATGAGCTGAGCTGTAAGCGCCTAGCGATTACCACTATATAGCACTGGAAATGGGTTAGAATAAGGATTTGGGATGGGACGGGGGGAAAGGAATAGTGCCCAACCACTTGGACGGTCGGGGATTGAACACCGACGTGCATGAAGCGAGACCACTCACTGTCCTCAACTGTCCATTCTTAATGAGCCACAGGGACGTTAGAAAGAACTTTTTCAGTGTCAGAGTAGTTAACAGATGGAATGCATTAGGCAGTGATGTGGTGGAGGCTGACTCCATACACAGTTTCAAGTGTACATATGATACAGCCCAGTAGGCTCAGGAACCTGTACACCAGTTGAGAGGCGGGACCAAAGAGCCGAAGCTCAACAACTAGGCGAGTATGATTAAATGAGTAGAGACTGCGTATGTGCGTGCGCGCGCTGTCACAAATCCATATACAACCAACCACATTTACACACACACACACACACACACACACACACACACACACACACACACACACACACACACACACACACACACACACACACACACACACACAGTGTCCATATATAAATTACCAGCTTTCATCGCTGTAAACACATTACATTCCCTCGAAGGTGTGCAATCTTACATATATTAAGGGCATAACTAGCGCGCCCTCCCACTACACCCCCGGACTCTACCCGTCAACATGTCCCCTGTGTGACTTTGAGAAGCCTCGCGAACCGCAAATTACGGCGAATGTTGGTTGTAAGACGTTGATTTGGTGCTTTTGGCGCCTTGGGTGGTGAGGAAGGTGGGTGATAGTGAGGAAGGTGGGTGATAGTGAGGAAGGTGGGTGATAGTGAGGAAGGTGGGTGATAGTGAGGAAGGTGGGTGATAGTGAGGAAGGTGGGTGATAGTGAGGAAGGTGGGTGATAGTGAGGAAGGTGGGTGATAGTGAGGAAGGTGGGTGATAGTGAGGAAGGTGGGTGATAGTGAGGAAGGTGGGTGATAGTGAGGAAGGTGGGTGATAGTGAGGAAGGTGGGTGATAGTGAGGAAGGTGGGTGATAGTGAGGAAGGTGGGTGATAGTGAGGAAGGTGGGTGATAGTGAGGAAGGTGGGTGATAGTGAGGAAGGTGGGTGATAGTGAGGAAGGTGGGTGATAGTGAGGAAGGTGGGTGATAGTGAGGAAGGTGGGTGATAGTGTCTAGGGTGGGGGATAGTGAGGAAGAAAATTCAACACCCTATTTTACCCGTTATTCCTATTGATCTCATATTATGGGCTAATACTCCATGGTAACATTTGTCGAATGTCTTTATGAAGTCTGTTTTGATTGTGTTTTTCTTATGCTTAAGGGATTTTGTCATCGTTATTGAGTAACTGCGACAGACAGGATCTTCCCGCTCTAAACCCATATTGTCCTGGGTTGTGGAGTTCATTGATTGCCATAACACTGATTAGATTCTTAAGCACTCTTTCACAAACGTTTGTTAGTGACTTTATTTAGTACGACAGGTCTATAGTTTTAACTTTTTTGCCAAAGCTTTACTACCTCCCTTGTGTAGAGTAGCTATGTCTGCTGATTTAAGTGCTGCTGGTATCTCCCCTGTATCCAGGCTCTTTCTCCATATTTCACTAAGCGCTCGCGCTACTGGTACTTTACATTTCTTTATGAGTATTGAATTCCACGCATCAGGACCAGGGGCTGAGTGCATGGGCATGTTGTTACACTTATCTTTGAAAGTCTTCATGTTCGTGTTAATATCACTTACGATGTCTGGGGGTTTGGATAACTGTCAATTCATAAAGAAGCTGTCCGAAAGCTTGAGAATGGTCCAGGACGGACCGAAACGTCGTCGTCCCTTCAATTTCTAGTGTGTGGTCTGGTCAACAAGCTGTCCGAAACTTCAACTTTCATGTTAAATGAGGGTGTTAAATATGGCCTCATAAGTTGTCTTCTCACAGACATAATAACACTATTTGTGTAAATTATGTAAGGTATTTACACCAAGACTTTCGCACTTTCCTCAGTGCAAAAGTGTTTTTTTTCAAGGTCTGAGTGTGTGATTAGGATGAGACTTACATCTTCTAACGAGGCTGCTATCCTCATACTGATTTCTTAGGGATTTTATTAATGTCTTTGTTGTCGTCTGTGTATGAACTTTCAACTCACAAGTAAAGGTCCAATTCTTGTGGAGGTTCAATGTAACTACGGGCTCACCATAGACCGTGCTACTTGGAACTTTTTGTTCCAGGTAACGAATCTTAAACAACAACAACAACATGGAGAGGTTTTTGATTGACATTTTGCATACGTGCCCAAATATTGTTGGTTTTCTTGTATCTCTTGTATAACTTTCTGTTCCAATTCCATTTCCTCGGACTGGTAGGATCGCTTCAGCGTCTGTTCTATTTCTTCTATCTCCTTGTTGAGATTTATTTCTCTTTGTTGTGAAAGTCGTGTCTGCTTAAACTTTTCCCTGATTCTGCTCCGCCTTTTTTGTAGAGTCGTCTGCGTTCTCTTTCTAGAGTGGTCTTCTTTCTGCCCCTCCTCACAGGCACGTGCTTCAAGCAGATCTTGAATACTTCAGCAGTCAGTTGTTCTATTCTCTGTGTGGGAGTTTTGTTGCTTAAGACTTGCCTTGTCTTGTTAAAACTGAATGGATTGAGTAACCCTTTTCATGTTAGTTTGTATATCGGTGAGCTTGTGGTCTGAGTATGTAGTGTCTGATTCCAATAGCCCTGATTGTTTATTCATTGTTTGTGAAGATCAGATCGAGTGTGTGTTCGTTCCCAGTTGGTTCTGTAATCTGTTGGTTGAGCGAGAATCTGTCACAGAATCTCAGTAGTTCTCTGACTAGTTCTCAGTAGTTCTCAGTAGTTCTCAGTTGGTTATTTCCAGGTTGATTTCCTGCTATAATGTTATTGTTTGCCATTCTCCACGTTAAACTGGGTAGATTGAAGTCTCCAAGGAAGATAATATCTGGTATTGGGCTTGCTAGGATATCAAGGATATTCTCTATTTTGTGCATCTGTTTTGTGAATTCCTAAACTGTTGCATCTGGCGGTTTGTATATTAGAATAATAATTAGGTGTATTTTTTCAACTCTAATTCTAAGTTCCTCTAACACTTCACTGGTTAAAAAGCTCGGTGCATACCAATTTCTCTTTAATATATACTGAGGGGAATACATAGAGGCACTATGTATTCCATCTCTCTCTATATAGAAGGCACTATGTACGAATAGTGCCTCTTGGCACTCGGCTCCCGCCTGGTCCGGCGAGAGGGGCTATTCAGTATTTAATACAAAGTTTCACATCGCTGAGTTTTATTTTTCTGTGTCGTTATATACTTCGTTATACACTTCGCGATGTCTCTGGTCTGTGTTGCATCACTGTACATAGCTTCTGTATCCCAGAGGATTGCGGGGGATTTCGCGGAGCACGACAAATTCGTCAGGCCACTGTGCCATCGCGGCCTCGCTATCCCCACCGCAAAATGTGGGGGAGTGGGGGATAGTGAGGAAGATGGGGATAATAACTAGGGGTGAAGGATAGTGATTAAGACAGGTGTTTTATCTAACGTGTTGTATCACAGGTGTTGTATCGCTGGTTGTTCTTTGACAAGTGTTTTATCTCCCCGTGTTAAAAGGTGTCTTAATATATCCCGAATATAAACAAAAGAACTACATATTTTATTTACTTGGTACTAACGCAGCTAATTGAATACCTGTCTCGTTAATGTCACATGTTGACCAGACCACACACTAAAAGGTGAAGGGACGACGACGTTTCGGTCCGTCCTGGACCATTCTCAAGTCGATTGTGGCATGACTTGACACACAATCGACTTGAGAATGGTCCAGGACGGACCGAAACGTCGTCGTGGTCCCTTCACCTTCTAGTGTGTGGTCTGGTCAACATACTTCAGCCACGTTATTGTGACTCATCGCCTGCAAATGACACAGGTGTTTGTATATACTCTCTACCCTTGTATTGACACGTGTTACGACTCATCTGTCTGTCTGTCTCTCCGTACAGGACTTACCTGGTGGTGACGCCGAGGCTGGTGCGTGGTGGCCAGGTGTACAGGCTGGTGGTCAACATCCTGGAGCCCTCGCCTACCCTGGTCGTCCGCACCACCATCTTCCGCGACAACATCGAACTGGCGGCCGTGGAACACGAGTGTGAGAGCGACACTCCTCAGGTCCTCGAGCTCATGGTGAGTGGTGGTGTTCTTCGTCTCCTCCTGGCGCCGTCTTCGTCTACTGTGCCTTCTCCTCCTGCTGTGCCTTCTTCGTGACCTCCTGGCGCCGCCTTCGTCTCCTCCGGCACCAGCCCAACCACTTGGGCTGAACGTTAGAACGGCGGTCTCGCTTCTTGGAGGTCGGCGTTCAATCCCCGACCGTCCACAAGTGGTTGGGCACCATTCTTTTCCTTTCCCCCCGTCCCATCCCAAATCCTTATCCTGACCCCTTCCCAGTGCTATATAGTCGTAATGGCTCGGCGCTTTCTCAAGTTTCAGCTCCGCACCTGTGCCAGGTAAGTCCATCACGGGCTCACCATAGCCCGTGCTACTTGGAACTTTTAGTTCCCAGTAGCTGAATCTTAAACATCAACAACGCTTTCTCCTGATAGAGAGAGAGAGAGAGAGAGAGAGAGAGAGAGAGAGAGAGAGAGAGAGAGAGAGAGAGAGAGAGAGAGAGACTCTCTCTTTCTTTCTCTTTCCCCCCCTCCCTCCCCCCACACTGCGGGTGCTCTTGCCGGCCTCGCTGGGGAAGAACACATGATTGCCTGGAATCAAAGGGTTTTGGATGCGATTCACCTCAGCTGCAGCGGGACTTGACCTAAGTGGAGTAATGGGAGGACTCCAACGAACCGAGGTTAACCTCCGCCAACAAGAGCTTTCACCAAGTGATCCAACGATAGTCGAGAGCAAAATGTTATATCGGCTAACTTTGACAATTTGACCTAAAATTACACAAGCGTATTTCATACGAAATCATCTCAAGATAACCTCAAGATACGTAAATACATCTATGTCAATACAATAGAAGGCCTGTTTATCTGTCTAAGATTGCAGGGCAGATTGTGATTGTATGGAGAGTGTCATGGGTGGGGGGGGCGACCCTTTTTTAAGAAGGACCAGCACCTTTATCAAATCCCAGCTACTTTTTTTTTTTTTTTTTTTTTTTTTTTGGTCGTCTGAAATGCGAGTTTTATTTCCCATAGAGTTTCTCGGCTGTTTTTCAGCTGTTTATAATATCGGACGAGAAGCAGTGTTCTCAACTTGCCAGTGCAAACTACTGAACATATGGCCCTGTATGACCAACCATCCTGCAAGATGCGGACTTTTAGTACAACTGCTGCCTTATTACCTCGTGTGTTGATGATGATATCCTCATAATGCAGCCAGAGTCTGCCAGTGCAGACTACTCATCTCCTGCCCCTGTACGACTAACCATCCTGTGTGATGGGGATTTTTTAGCATCACGTAGCTAGCTTTTTGACACACACTGTACTCCCCTTCATATAGTCTAGGGGCAGCTGCACTAACTTTAAAAAAAAACTTTAAAAGCACTAACTAAAGCAAAAAGCACTAACTAAAAGCACTAACTAAAAAAGCACTTACTAAAAAAAGCACTAACTAAAAGCAAAAACTTTTAAGCACTAACTTTAAAAAGAACTTTAAAAAAAGGTTGATAATATCCCATGATACAACATTACCACAATAACTTATAACCATGTTGTTACAACATTGCGCCAAAGTAACAGTTATCAACAGTAATGTTGTGGTTATGTTTAGCATTTGTTGGGCTTGTGTGTTCTGAGGATGAGAGTAGGAGAGGGAGGGAGAGTGGGGGGGGGGAGAGAGAGGGAAGAAGGTGGGAGGGTGGGATAGGTGGGGAAGGGAGACAGGAGAGGGGAGACAGGAGAGGGAAGACATGAGAGGGGAGACAGGGAAGGAGAGCTGATCAGTGTGGGAAGATTGGGATAGTGAAGGAGAAGAGGGAATAAGAGAGGGAGAAAGACGAGAAAGGATGCGAGAGTTGAGAGAGCAGAGGAGACAGAGAGAGAGGGGAAATGGAAGGAAGGAGGCGGGGCGGGGGAGGAAGGGGGCTGCCAGAGAGACCCGGACACCGCTGGGTATTCCATATAATCTTACATGTTGTTACGAACCAGTTCTTCACTATTTTCGTCTCTGAACCCCCATAATATTTTATGTTGTTTCATTATAGCCAATTGCATTATGTTGTGGCAAACAAATTTCAAACATTTAATCCAGCCCTCCAGAGGAAGGATGCTTGCTCAAGATACAGCAGGCGTTTCCTCTCTGAACCACGACAGAGCAGCGCTTACACAGGACATTGGTTGCTCTTGGAACGTTGTTGGCCTAAGGAGTTGCTCTTGGAACGTTGTTGGCCTAAGGAGTTCCTCTTCCACCTCCTTCAGGAACCTCAGTGCATCTCTAGCCGAGCCTGTAACAGGCTCTTACAGTCTGTATCTTGCAGCTTACAGCCTGTAAGATGCGTTTTTAACAGTATCCTCAGCCCTCTGCTTAGCTGTGTTCTGGGTCTACCTGACAGACACACCCTCCCCCCCCCTCCGTCACACTGTACCGTAGACAGGTATATCAGTCAAATATAGACGCACACACCTGTAGTCCCACACGACCTGTCCCCCTCCACGGCTGCTGGGTCACTCTGTCTGGGGGCGGGTGACCGTCGTCAAGGGATGCACATGTCAGGTTTCCACACAAACTTCACTCAATGATGTCACTGATTGCGTCATGTCTGGTCATCTTTCTCATCTATTTTTACGATAGATGAGCCTTCATATTGAACCTGCACACAGAAATAATATCACATGAGACCAGGAGGCATGGCAGGATGTGCAGAATACCCCCGTTGAAAAGCAGAGGTGCAACAGGTACTCTGAGAGAGAACTATCAACATCAGAGGCCCGAGACTGTTCAACACGCTTCCACTACACATAAGGGACATAACTGGCCGACCCCTCACAGTGTTCAAGAGAGAACTATCAACATCAGAGGCCCGAGACTGTTCAACACGCTTCCACTACACATAAGGGACATAACTGGCCGACCCCTCACAGTGTTCAAGAGAGAACTATCAACATCAGAGGCCCGAGACTGTTCAACACGCTTCCACTACACATAAGGGGCATAACTGGCCGACCCCTCACAGTGTTCAAGAGAGAACTGGATAAACACCTCCAAAGGATACCTGATCAACCAGGCTGTGACTCATACGTCAGGCTGCGAGCAGCCGCGTCCAACAGCCTGGTTGACCAGTCCGGCAACCAGGAGGCCTGGTCGACGACCGGGCCGCGGGGACGCTAAGCCCCGGAAGCACCTCAAGGTAGCCCCATGGTAGCCCATGGTAGCCCATGTGCGCCCATGGTATCTGTCTGTTGTTGTTGTTGTTTAAGTTTCGCTACTCGGAACAACACGTTCCAAGTAGCACGGGCTATGGTGAGCCCGTAGTGCCTCTATCATCTGTCTGCCGATGCATAGCCGCAGATATACCACTGTTCTGTTGTAATAAAGGCGGTAAGGCCTTTATTACAGGGCAATATAGATGCTAAAGTTCCTGATAGTCTAGGTGGGTGTCAGAGGAGAAATTGAAGGGCTAGCACAGCGAGGAGCAACAGCTTTTGTGGTCCATGGTTCGAGGCCCTGAAGGACTTAGGAAAGGGAGAAAGGAGAAAGCAACAAGCCTTTCCTACTATATTGTAGCTGTAAGGGCTACATCAGGATAAGGATTTGGGATGGGACGGGGCAAGGTGATGGTGCCCAACCACTTGGACTGGGTGTTTTATATTATATATATATATATATATATATATATATATATATATATATATATATATATATATATATATATATATATATATATATATATATATATATATATATATAATGGTGGTATGTCAAAGGTAACAAAGGGGACCTAAGAAGGACGCGGAGGGGAGAAAAATAGATGGAGACTGATAAGTATGAGGAGAAGAAGAGACAAGCTGAGAAAAAGATGCAGTACACAGAGCGTGAAGAAGTGGAGGATAATCCCACACTCTGTTATTTGTCCCGCCTTGTTAAACTCCGCCTCCAAGATCTCTATTGTTTCATGTGGGTTATCTGTCTGTGTCTGTCTGCCGCTGTCACTCTTTCTGACTCTCTCTCTCTCTCTCTCTCTCTCTCTCTCTCTCTCTCTCTCTCTATCTTTCTCTCCCTCTCTCTCTCTCTCTCTCTCTCTCTCTCTCTCTCTCTCTCTCTCTCTCTCTCTCTATCTTTCATCTCTCTCTCTCTCTCTCTCTATCTTTCATGTCTCTCTCTCTCTCTCTATCTTTCATGTCTCTCTCTCTCTCTATCTTTCCTGTCTCTCTCTCTCTCTATCTTTCCTGTCTCTCTCTCTCTCTATCTTTCCTCTCTCTCTCTCTCTCTCTCTCTCTCTCTCTCTCTCTCTCTCTCTCTCCCCCTCTCCCCCGCCCACTATTAGAAGTATTTGACTGCCAAATTGTCTTTTAAACTTTAATAACAATCTCGGTTCTTAATCCATTTCAAAAATGTTTTTTTGTAAATTGTTCATAACATGGAAGTTATTTGAAAGCATTCATGTTTTTTTGTCTCTTATTTGTTGACGATGTTGAACCCACAAACCCTGTTAGGCTAATTGTAGTAGGCCTAGGCTAACCCTAGGCCTACTACTGGCTATCCAGGATGCAACCCCCACAACAGTTGCCTATATCTCCCCGGGTATCTATGTTTACTGATAGGTGAAAGGTGAATAGTAGTAGCAGGTGAAAGGAAACATGTCAAGACCTCTCTCGTGCTGTTGTAATTCAGCCTGGGATCACTGAGATTGCTACACGAGAGCGCAGACTTCTTAGCTATAGGACCCCCTGTGTCTCCGAGTAGCGGGGGCCCGCATTAATGTTCTTAGTCAGGACCTAAGATACAGGCCGTCCTCCTAAGGTGCCAAAACGTCAAGAAACAGTCGTGCTAAGTGTCCTTATCCTAACCTGCCAGAGGACCCAAAACAGAAAACGGGACAGTATGTCAATTTCGCCAGCCGCTTCCATTTTCTAGTACGACGATTTTTAACCGTATTATACGGAAAAATGCGACGCTCTGTTACGGGCGACGGGTTGGGTGAAGTACATGTTGTGTGTGTTCTATATGTATGTTCTGTACATGTTCAC